AATACAACTTTCATGACGGTGGTTTTCAATTATACGTCTCCTTCTGTGCTCTGTCCTACAGCAGCTAAACGCATTATAATGCATCTGTTTTAATTGGTTTATCTAACCACAAGGACCGGGCAGAGCATTTTAATGATCTAACATTACTTTGAACTTTCTATCAACCATTAAGCTAATTGGAAACATTAACTACATTCTTTTATATGTTGTATCACTGTGTTTACATCTTTGAATCATATATGTTGTATTTCTTAGAATACTAGTATATTGCATTATATTATAAAACATTTTACAAATCGCAAACCTAGAAGAAAGAGTCCCATTATGTTGTTATTTCACGCGTCCATGCTGGGGTTGTCAAAAGTATTGAAAATCTGATACTACAAAACTAGATACTCATTTGAGCAAATATCGATACTAAAAAAAATCAACCTAACAGAATTGATCTTGAGCTGTATCAGAATAAGAGCACATAGACCAGTATACACTCACAAACCTGGACGACTGAGAGATTTCATAGACATAACACCACAGAGTAATAAAAGAAAGTACCACGATTTAATGTTGAAAATCAGAAATAATAATTTTCGCAACAATTTCAATTTACTTTTATCTAACAGTTTGAAGGTGGCAGCCTGTGGGGAAGCTGGCCAATGTGATCTCAAACAGAAGGCAGACTCAGAAAATGTTCCATTTCACCAAAAAAAGTATTCATAAATTCACATTGGTATATTGCAAAAAAACCCCAAAAAACAAAAACATATTTACAAAAATAACTGTGCTCCAATTAAGTAAAAACAACAGAAGAATTGAACTGTTTTTATATCCCCCCCACAGAAAGGACCTCCCTCCAGGCAAGCACAAAATCTCCTACAGGTCAAATATTAAACTTAACTTCACTTTTCTCTAAAGTGAACCATGAGATTTACCACAAAGGCCCAAGTCTCCTTTATATTAAATTGCTTAACATAAACTATTAACACTGAAATGTCTAAATCAAATACACAAAACCCATAAAACAAAAGAACTGAAACCAATTCTCCCTCCACATGGTCTGACCCAAAACCTGCCCCCAGAGGCTTTAAATATGGCCGACGTAGGACACGCCCCTTCTTCTGTCTCCAGACCATGTGGACAAACAAACAGGTAAACAGGTAAGTGTCTGGAATAACTGAAATGTCCAACTAAATTGAATAGATTTAACCAAATAAAATATATTTAAAGTATCTTGAGTGTGTTGTGATTAACTTAAAAGAACTAAACGAAGACAAAATAAACCAAACCTGGGATAGTCATATTTAGTAGTTTAGTTGATTATGGAGAAATAAATATGAAATTAAGGTGAGTATACAGACACAAATGCCCTCTTTGGCTTTACAAGATTAGGTTTCAGTATACTGCTTATTTCTTTAGCCAAGATTTGTCCACAGTCCACAGACAATCTAAAAAGGTCTCAACTGTTGCTTTAGATTTAAGACCGAAGATTTCATACTGATCAGTGCAAAGTCAAAACGCCCCACAACAGCTGCAGATCTGAAAATGCAAACCAGTCATAAAGCTATACCAAATTGTGCATAAACTAACCATATTTCTTTGATACAGATGCAGAATTTATGGCGTGCACAGCCTGTAAAGACCATCCATTCTAGACACTGTTTACAAACTGCACTGTGTACTATTGGTCTGAGTGGTTGAAAAAAAAAAAGGAGCCATCTTTAGACCAGATCTGTGTTTGATCAGATTTAAAATAGACACTCAGAGCGTCCATTGTGCAGAACAGAGCTGATAAAGGCCCTGCTACAATGAGACTAGAATAGCTCTCCACTTAACTGTCCCTCTCCCAGCAGAATAACGTGACACGGCTGTCTAAAGTGGACACGTCTCTGATTATGCTGCGCTTTTATAGTATTCTCTATTTTAATATTTTCTAGGATTAGGAGGAATCGTAACTGTAATGAATGACATTTCAGGTCATGGGTCAAAGAAGTGTCAGCTTTATTTCTGTAACTGTGATACTCATGGCTTCTAGGGATGACTAATTAGCACTGTTGCCATTTCAATTAAGATAAAAAAAAAGGTCCAGTGGTGAAATGTCCTCAAAATGTCAGAAGTTAAAATTAGACAAAGTAGCACTATTACTTCTGCATATTAGCTACAGTTTCACGGCTTGTTCTTCAGAGCTTTATTTAAGCTTAATTAATAGTTGTCGTGGTAAAAGTATTGAGTTTATTTGCCAGCTTTATGCCTGGTTAGCACTCGCCACACCACAAGAAGGTTCCTGTTTCAATACCCAGCGTTGAAGATGGTTACAGGGTTAGCAGGTTTTATGAGTCTAAGGTATGATGTTTGGATTTATACAGGGACATTGTAGAATAAACATTAACCAAAAGGAAGGATGTACTGTATCAGGTTATAGGAGAAAATGCATTTCCACGTGTAGTCCTAGGGCAGGTTGAAGCTATAGAGATAAACCTGTCACAATACCATATCGACTTATTGTTCAATATATGAAACCTGGAACAATATATATTTTGGGCTCAGTATTTATGGTGTGTACAATTTCTTTACAATAATGGCGAGATTTTTGTTCTTTCAGTTGTAGTACGAGATTTGAGCGGTAGATTGTTAAGTAACTTTTATACCTCTGTGAAGTTGGACCCCCATCAAACTCACACCTACACAGAAACCGTCAATCATTTGTGTTCTGTTTGTGTGTTCAAACAGTACTTTTGTAGGTCAAATTGGGGTCAGCCAGCCCCCCAGGAAGCTTCAAAATGCTCTAAAATGGCCCAAAATGGTGTCATTCGTTTGTGCTTCGTGCTGTTTTGTGCTGCAGAAAGTTTGGTTTGTGTGATTATGGTTCTTTAGATATTAGCAGTTTTATTTTTGGCCGATGACGTCATCCAGACCCTCAAAATGTTGTATAGCGCTCAAAACAGGAAGAAAATTATACCAAACATTTGCATTATCTGTTTTGTGCTGTGACAGTTTTCATTCGTGCTAGTGTATTTCTAAAATTATGTAAATTATATGATGTCATTTCTGCTTAGCTGACACTTGCAAATTCCACAAAGCAAGTGAAGATAAACGATCTCAGGCTGTGGAAAAGTCTATTATATAAAGTATAAATCAAAATCAAGTTACCAAAGACTTTCCCACAGCGTGAGATTGTTTATCTTTACAAGTTTTGCAGAGTTTTGCTAAAGTCGCTGCCGTCAGCTGAGCGAAAAAGATGTCAGACGTCATATAATTTCCACAAAAATATTGATTAATAATTTTAGAAATATTCTAGCACAAATGAAAATTGTCACAGCACAAAAAGGCGCAAATGAAACACAAAGGATTGATAGTTTTTGTGTAGGTTTAGGTTTGATAGGGGGTCAGTTTCAAATGGTTAACTTTTATTACTTCATTCTGCTGTTTGTTGCAGCTCATGCCTTTAAATGATACTGTTATTGTTATTGTTTACCGGGATCATCCTGCTTTATTGTCCTTGTATCTATGGCATAAATTAGTTTCAATATTATTGTTTGTTGTGCTATTTTTCTGTAGCATTTTATCATTCAGACCTAGAGACAAGATACTATGTTGTTTACAGAGAACTCTATAGTATCTAAATAAATGTAATTCTGGTGATCTCCTCGTTACAACCATTCAAATTGTGGTTTTGAAGAGATTTCGTTTTGTCTCACAGCCCACATCTCAGAATCAATTTTTCCTCACACCTTTGCATTTAATTAGAGCAGGAGGTAGGACACGCAGAGCTGGAGAATCCCATGATGCACTGGGGAGTCTCCGCGCCTTTCCCGCTCGCCCTCACACAGAGACACACAATACAGCGCCATCCTTGGACAGTTCTAATGACTTTGGCTGCCATGGAAACGCCGGTAATTAGGTGCTTCCTCTTTGGAGTACAGTCCCATTGTGGTTCATTGTGTCATGCATCTTCCCTGCCGGGCTCGGGATCAAATATGAATGAAGTTTAAAGGTGTTAGACTGTCTAGAGTACAAGATCGTTTCATATAGTTTTATGGGTATATGAAATCAAAATAGTATGTATAGAGGAGGGCATGTAGAAGTCATTCATATCTGCTATAGCTATACTGTATAAACAAAAAAATATATAAAAAAACCCCATCAAAATTATGTTGTCATCTTTCATATACTTTGTTTTGGCACTTGTATAGAATTTTTCCTTTTGTACTTGAACCTCACCTACCTTTAAAGATATTTTTTTGGCACATTTATATTGGATTCTGTTGAAGTTTTTCATTTTTCTCAATATCGTCGACCCATAATCAAATATATATTCTATTCTAGAATAAGAAACTGTCATAAAACTCCATCAAAGCAGACCTATATGCAAGATAGATTATTTTTTTAATCATGTAGTAGTTGTTTCCCCTCACCATTTGTTTACCTGAAGTAGTATTTGGAGTGATTTGTGCATGTAATCTTTAAACGCTTATTTTCAAGGCACCATTTTGCTGATCAAGTCCTGTACTTTGTTCTCCAGTTTGACTTTCTTTATCTGATTCTGCACTGTCATGCTTTTAGTACAAAAAAAAAAAACAATCTGCTACTTGCTGCAACTATCGATCAGAGGTGTTGACAGCAACATATCTCTCTGTTGTTATGATATTTACAGCGATTTCTGCTCCCACTGGACACCGCACTTTTCTCACAGAAGTCAGTGGATGTGTGTCTGTATTGTCATTTTAAATAAATATTGCAATTTAAAATGTGCAAATTATAACATAATGATCCACGGGTGTCATAGATTTGAACTATATAGCAGACACAAGCATAATAGATCTTCTTTAAGTTAGAAATTGTTTACATTTTTGTGTCTGATATTGCTGTCACATTCACGTTTGAACCTCAATGCATTCCCAGCCAGGTTTCATTTCTGATGGATTGCACCAAAAAGATTAAGTATTGCTGGTTTTCCCCCTATTGAAGTTTCTATAACATGATATTTCTTTGTATTTGTTTTACAGATGACGTTCTTCTTCCTCGTGTCTGGAAAAACTGAGAGCACGTCCCACTGAAAACGGATGCAGACGTAGTGAATCTGATCTTCTGTTTGGATAATATTTTCTTCCCGCCTCTAAGGAAACCCCATATCACCTTATACTATCTGTGGAGGCCTATTCCGTTATTACATAGGGACCTTAGACATTTTTCCAACATGAGTGGTCTGGTCAGAAAACTGGACCCGAGGAGGATACAATGGGGGTCAGCCTGGAACACTTTCACTTCGAGGATTCTGCGGACCAAACCGGTGGAGTCCATGTTGGATTCGGCCATGTCCGGCACAGGCGCCCATGGGACCAAGCTGGCCAGGGTGCTGTCGACGGTGGACCTGGTGTCTCTGGGCGTGGGCAGCTGTGTGGGCACGGGCATGTACGTGGTGTCCGGGCTGGTTGCCAAGGAGATGGCCGGGCCCGGGGTCATAGTGTCCTTTATAATCGCAGCTGTGGCCTCCATACTGTCCGGTGAGGATGAGTCACATTAGAACATGTCAGCCATTGATTTACACCGTACACGTCTTTTGTGAACTTATTTGGCTGTAGAGTCAATATATTAAAAAAAAAAATCTTTGGTGTGAAAAATGTTTTAGGAAAATTACTTGTTGTCACACATGTTTAACACACAAACCTTGCATATTTAGGCCAAGTTCTTCTCTCAAATAGAAAACACTCTGTTCCACCTTGTGATGTCATGTGGTAATACAGGAAGACCTGCACTATGTTTTTAAACTCCACTTACCTTCACTAGAATTATTTGGATGACTTCAGCCCTGGAATTGCCAATCTCTACTGAGCAAAAAGTAAAAAAGTAGCTGTAAACATGAAAACCAACACTACATGACATCACAAAGTGGAACTGAGCATTTGGAGCCTTGGAGATGTAGACAGGCTAATAATAAAGGATTACTCAAACATGTGTGAATGAAACAAAACACAATCCGTGTATCATACATTCATTCGTTTTTCAAAATAAAACCAAAAAAAATATATATATTTTTTTTCATTATTTGTCTCCAAAACCGAAATGTAAAAACTGATAATGATTTGTTTTTTCAGTTTCTGGTTTTGTGTTTAAATAAATAATGGAAAAAAAACGGAGTTTCCGGCAATCAGTTACATCTCAGCTTTTGGACCTAAACTTAAACTGCGTGTGTCTAACATTTTAGGTGATCATGTTAACAAAACAACACTATTTCAAAAAATATATATAATATATATAAAAAGTGTATATGTATAGCTTGCACTTACCTTATATAAGCACACATATGTACATACATACATACGTACATACATACATACATACATACATACATACATACATACATACATACATACATACGTACATACATACATACATACATACATACGTACATACATACATACATACATACATACATACATACATACATACTACATACATACATACATACATACATACATACATACATAGTACATACATACATACGTACGTACATACATACTTACGTACATACATACATACATACATACATACATACATACATACGTACATACATACATACATACATACATACATACGTGTGTGTGCTTGCTCCTACTAAAGATAAAATGGGTCAAAATTGGATGAAACAGGAAACGGCCGTTATCCATTTTTCCATTATTCATTTAAACACAAAATTGAAAACTGAAAAAAAAAACAACAACAAAAAAACCCAACAAATCGTTATCTGTTTTTCATTTTGGTTTTGGAGACAAATAATGAAGAAAATTGTTGTTTTGTTATTTTCTTATTTTTGGTTTGATTTTGAAAAATGAATGATTGGACGATACACAGATTAAACACAACTCCAGGTATGTTTTTGATAAGTTAACAATATAACTTGGTTTAAAAGCTCACAAGAATGAATTTTGTGTAATACAGGGAAAAAACTAGTAGTAAAAGTAATTGTTTCTGCTACTACTATTACTACTACTAATTGTTTTCTACTCATTGAAATTTCTTATGAGTCCTTCTAATTTACAAAAAACTGTCCATCTGTATTTTAATTGAACCCTTGTCCTCTATGTATTTTCAACAAGTTAAAACTATTCAAGTCTTATTTAATACAACCTCCAATCTCCAATCTCCAGGCTCCATTAGGCATGTATTAAGTGTGCTTTCATCAGAGGGAGTTTACATTATACACAGTTATATTTGAAAGAGCACTCATGGGCATCTGTGCTAATGTTTCTGTCAATACAAAAACAAAGCCTAGAAGTACAGCACTACACTGCACTGCAAAAAACAATATCTAGGTTACGTTAAAATGACTTAAATTGAGACCGTTTCACTTTTCATTTGAGTAGATTCAACGTGACAAGTAAAATAGTCGACTAATGGAATAAGTGTGTTTCTTAAATGAAGGAACATAGACTTTGGTTCTTATTTTAAGTGCAAAGAGGTGTTTTTGTTAAAGATGCACTATGTAATGTTTTGGTTGGGAGTTCGCCACTTGCTTGTTTTTACGTATGTGTCATTGCTCTGCTTGGAATGTTCCACAGTATGACTTTAAACAGCTCTACTTTATATTTATGCAATTACAGATGGTTTTATAGCTCAAAAATACCTTGAAAAACAGGCATTCTGACTGTGAGCGGGGTCGCCTCTCCACAGATCTAACCTGTCACTTGGTCTGATTTGGTCTCCATGATGATAGAAAGGTTTAATGCCATACTGTGAAACATTTCAGACAAAAAGAAAGCAGGAGAAAGCATTTGACAGACTCTCCACTACAAAAGTTACACAAAGCACGCTCAAGTGAAGCAATATATATTTTCATATTTTCAGTACAAAAAGTCTATAATTTGTCTATAAAGTATATCATTTTACTTGTCAAGTGAAAGTGACTCAGATCATCATAAAACTTTCTTCATTCACGTAATTTTTACTTAAATGAAATAGACCTATAATGTAACTCTAATCTATGTAAGTATAACTATAACTGCCATAAATATAAGACAAATATTATACAATTTAATAACTTAAGGTTTTCATCTAAGTAAAGGTGGACTGTGTCTCTTTTCTGGTGGGAGGTCTGCCACCTGCTACTTTCTGTGGAGATGTTATTACTTTGCTTGGAATGATCCACAGTATAGCATTAAACAAATACCTTGCATTTATTATATTATAGATATTTTTATTGCTTTGAAATACACATATTTTTACTCTAAACTCTTCTCCTATAACTTGGCCTGTATGCATTTTCTGCTTGTCTCCATGGACATAGATGCATTTAATGCCATACTGTGGAACATTTTAGGCAAAGCAATAAGATCTCAAAACACACAATTTGCAAACCCCCAACAGAAAAGTTACATAGTGCGCCTTAAAAAGAAAAAGCTCTTAACTTGCACATAATCAAAGCAAATTTCTCTGATCTGGCCAAGACTTTCAACGTTATATAAAGTTTTAATCTTGTTTTCAGATTTATTATCTACTTACTAGTTCTGAGACTGCTTAATTCTAGTCTAGAGGTCGTTTATTTCAAGAGAACTTGTCAAGTAAATTTATGTGGTAGATAATTTCACTGCTTTTAAGTCATTTTCTGATAGATTTAAGTGTTAATATCTAAAGTTTTGGCTAAGCTTTTTTTTTTTGCAGCAATGAGACTTACATCTGAAAATTTGTTATAGTAGTTTAATTTTAATGGTGCACTGTAATTTTTCTGGTGGAGGGTCCATCAAACACTTTATTCCATGGAGATGTTAGTCCTTTGCCAGGAATATTTCACAGTATGGGATTAGACCTTTCTATCTTCATGGAGACCCAAAACCAGACCAAGTTACAGGTCAGATCTGTGGAGAAGCAACCTGCTCACAGTCAGAATATCAGTTTTCTAGGTATTTTTGAGCTATAAAAACACCAGTAATTCTGTAAGGGTGTTTTGGACACTTTATTTATTATTTGTACAGTATCTCCACTTGCTCATGAATCCCTCTGTGTGTCTTGTATAGGTGTGTGTTATGCAGAGTTTGGGGTCCGCGTGCCTAAGACCACCGGGTCAGCCTACACTTACAGTTACGTGACGGTGGGCGAGTGCGTGGCCTTCTTCATCGGCTGGAACCTGATTCTGGAGTATCTGATCGGCACGGCGGCGGGGGCGTCGGCGCTCAGCAGCATGGCCGATTCGCTCGCCAACCACAGCATCAGCAACTTCATGATCTCACACGTGGGGGCGCTGCAAGGACTGGGTGAGTGAGGAAGAGAGGGGAGGAGGGGGAGGAGTAAGGAGGAGGAGGGTTAGTGAGCGAGTAAGAGGGAAGAGGGGGAGTAAGTAAGAGCGAGGGGGTGTGAGGCGTGGTTGATTTGTGTATTTGTTTTTCAAAGATGTTGCACATTTTAGAATAGAACAGAAAAGCACACAGCAAGAAAGAGGATAGCTCATGATTATAGATGCCATTTTGAGGACTTTAGATCATTCCATATTCATTGATAGGGAATGGCCCTATTGTGTGTTTCTTTTACAAAATTTGCTTGCATATATGCAGATCATACAACAATGAAAAGTGTAAAAAGTGTAAAAGTTGCATATACAACTAATATTTAAAACTTTTTCATAGATAATACATTTTTCATATTTTTGTCATATTTGGACTATCAATAAACCTTACTAAACTTTCTTCTGATACATTATCCTGCTCACTCGCACAGTTTAGACACTCAGTCCAAACATTTGCACAGTGTAAATAGGTAGTTGGCAAAAGCTGCAGATCTGGTAACATCTTGAATACTAGAAAGCCTGTCTTAATTATGTGCTGATTAGTATGAACCCATTTGCAGTTTGAGGTTGTTTATTCCTGGCTGCTTGGATGATCTCCCAAATCATGGAGAACCACATAAATTAAAAGAGGTGAGAAGGCTGTAAGAATGGGGCTGGTTCATTACTGACGTATACTTGAAGGTGTTAGCCCATGTGGAAGGCCTGTTAGTCAGATAGCTGTAGTTGATGTGTATTGCAGATGTGTGCGTCTGATAACTCCCCTCTGATAACTGCTCTTTCCTGTTGGCCGCACAGTGATCACATACACACCACCACCACCATGCAGCTGGTCACTGCTCAATGGAAACTCTTACTTTTTCCTGTGGCACAAAGAGATAGCTCCTATATAGTATTATATAGTGCACTTTGTTAGTATTGTTACACACGCAGCACTCTCACCTCAAAGCAAGAAGGTTCTGGATTTGACTTAATGCCAGTCATCCACACATACACTGCATTCATACATAGGCATAGGATTGCAGTATCAGTTCTGTTAGACTGCCCCAGGGCAGCTGTGACTACAGTAATGGTGTGCCACCACAAGTATGGAATTAGTAGACACTGTAGAAGCCTTTAAAAAAAGAGTATAAAGTGTTATGTTTTGAAAGATGTAGAGCTCTGGAATAAATGAATTATGCAAAAAATGTTGTTTGTTTTAAGTTATATTTTGTCTCTTATATATACAGTAAGTTGTAAGTGAAATTGTAAATCCAAATTTGCTGTCCATACACTGTTTTGTTAAATTTTTTGATTGAAATTCTGTCATTGTTTAAAAGGGTTTGATATTATAAGTACTTTTTACTTCAGCCTAAACCCTTGTGGTCATGATCCTGTAGTATGTTTTGTTTTGTAGTGCTGCAAGATGACTACTACTACTACTACTACTACTACTACTACTACTACTACTACTACTACTACTACTACTACTACTACTACTGAATGTAATGAATAGACTAATCCATTATTACAATTAATGAACTCATCTTACAGTGTTTTGTCTGATATAATGTTGTTTCCTCATCAAAAACATACCTGGAGTTATATCTGCAAATTTAGGCTAGGTTTTCTTCTCAAACTGAACATACTCTGTAGAAGGTAGATGCTCACTTGAAAACTACCACATGACATCACAAGGTGGAGCAGAGCATTTTGAGCTTCAGAGATGCAGACAGACTTTAAAATGTGCTGTACAAATAAAGAGGACTGGGTTGGAAGTTTGGAACAGACGTTAAAACAATTGTATTTCTATGTACATTATCATATTTTACAACATATTTTGTCTTTGCAGGTAAAGGTGAGCAGTCGTACCCAGACGTGATTGCGCTCTTCATCGCTCTCCTCGTCACCATCATCGTGGCTCTGGGGGTAAAGAACTCTGTGGGCTTTAACAATGCTCTGAACGTCATCAACCTCGTGGTGTGGATCTTCATGATGATCGCCGGCCTCTTCTTCGTCAACGGAGAGAACTGGGACGAGGGGCGCTTCCTGCCTTTTGGGTGGTCCGGGGTGAGTAACAATCACAGAGGGGGACAAATGGAGGAGACAGCTGTGTGTGTGTGTTTTGGTTTAAATAATTGTTGATCTATTTTTTGCCTGCAGGTGATGCAAGGAGCAGCCACCTGTTTTTATGCTTTTATTGGGTTTGACATCATCGCCACAACAGGAGAAGAAGCCAAGAGTCCCAACACGTCTATCCCCTACGCCATCACCGCATCACTCATCACCTGCCTCACCGCTTATGTGTCTGTAAGTGACTTCAAGAGGAATTACTCAATATTTCTTACTTTTCTTTTATAAATTGGTACAGATTGTTTTCCTGCAACTAAAAGAGTATTTAATTCTAAAATATTTTATATGCATTTATATTACAAACTTGTAAGAAAGAGCCACATGAGGCACTATATGATGCTTTGAGAAGAGAGCTGATTGGCTGTAAGGGTTGTCCACCATGCTTCACTTCTCCATCTGAAAAAACCTCATGTCCAAAAGCATCAAAGGGGTTGTTAGAGCTCGGAACAAGTTAAATTGATTTCAGTACCTACTTTCTCCTTTCATAGCCAGGTGCCCCGTCTTTAAAAGCATATATTATGCTCTGACAAAGCCTGATAGCCTGATTCATCAGCTGGTTTTACTTCATGGAAGCCATCTGACCTCGCAGCATTAGAATTTGTTCGCTCGACAGTAGGCAGGTACTTTTTTAAATTTAACTAATCGCTGCTATTTGGTCACGTTGTATGTAATGCGCCACTAACGGGGCTCAATGGTATATTAAACTTTTCCCAAATCCAAAAGGAAGAAGTGCAATAACGTCTTTCCCCTTGATAAAATTCACCAAACATTCTCTTTGTTTCAGCTTTAAATCCTTGATCTCTGGAATTGTTGCCATCACAGAATATATGTCTCTGCACTGATTGGCTGGTGCCAGGACTTGCACTTCTAGGGTTCTTGTAAACCATCTAGTGTATTCCAATTCCTGATCTAGTCGCTGGAGAGAAATTAAATTGAGCAGAGGCACAAGATGGCGCCAGCCTGGCTAGCCAAACTCAACATTGCTGTATAAATAAGAACCAGCATCCACTGCTCTGTCAAATTTATTAGCAATGATTTTTGCAAGATGTCACACTGAAAGGGGCAATGGCACACAACACGTGGCATTTGCTCACATAGGCTCTATATTCTGTTTGAATACTGCAAAAAAATAAATAAATGGTTATAGTCTAAAATAAGTTGAATAATTAAGTAATACTATAGTTTCAGCAGGTTACAGAAAAGAGCAAGATTCTGGACAATTATTACAGTGATCATGTCCTGGCAAATGAGAAGTCATGTATTGTAACAAGTCATAAAGATCCCCAAATGAATTCCATTCAGTAAATTCATCTAAACTAGTCAAAACATGATTAAGATAAAAACTAAGATTAAAGTAATTTTAACCCATCTACATGTTCATGTGTTCAGATACAAATTACATTTGTAGAATGACATAACCCTTCCCCTGTCACTAGTTTGGAGCATGTGTGTAGTTTATGAGTTTGGTTAACTTCATGTCTAACGCTTCAGGCATGTAGCCTATGTACAAAGTGCTTTTTGATGCATTGTCAAATCATAAAAGATATATGTATCTATAATAAGACGCACAGGCCGAGTATCAGACCTCTGGAGTGTGGGTGTCTCCCAGCTCTGATCTCGACTTATTCCACTCACACAATCTACTTTGACAGTTTTTATCCAGAAGGTTGTTGCCATGGCTACGGTTTAAAATTGGCCAATAAGAATAGAGCAATTTTGGCACCTCCCAAAGAGAACAAAGATTGCATCAACTTTTCTTTGAAACTCATCCCACTTATTCTCACTCTTTCTAACGCTGTATGAAACTCTGTAAGCTCCAGAAATGACCCAATTCTGCAGCTTTGTGCAAACTCTCTGATAACACGAACTACAAACTGGGATTCAATTGTTTAAGGACAGAAAGATTTCAATTTCAAGGCATGTTGTTAATTAAAGGACTCATATTATGCTATTTTCTGTGTTATAATGTTGTTTCCTCATCACTAACATACCTGGAGTTGTGTTTTGTTTCATTCACATGTTAAACACACAAATCCTGCATATTTAGACTGAATTCTTCTATCAAACTAAATCACTTTGTTCCACCTTGTGATGTCATGTGGTAATACAGACAAGGCTCCACTGTGTTTTTAAATGCCATGCAAATTCACTATCATTTTGGTAATTTCAGCCCTGGGTTTGCCTATTTCTATTAAACAAGAGGTAAAAAAAAGTAACTGTTAACTTGGAAACTTGCTTCATGACATCAGAAGGTGAAAAAGAGCATTTTTATCATTTGAGATGTAGATAGACTAATAAAACAGGATTGCTCAAACAAGTGTGCATGAAATAAAACACAACTCCAGGTATGTTTTTGAAGAGGAAACATTATAACATGGTTTAAACCTCACAAGAGTCAATTTTGTGTAATATTTAATTTAATTTATTACTATGAAGCATTTAAAAACATATCAAGTGTTGCACGTTATAACAATTTATTACTGTACATTATGTAGATCTATGTAGTACACTACACAGGTCAGATCTGTGGAGAGGCATGCGTATTTTGTGATGCAATAAAAACCTCTGTAATTTCATAAATGCAAGATTACACAGGTTTAATGCAATAGTTTGGAATATTCCATAACAAATTCAGAGAGAGAAGCAGAAGTTCCGTAGTGTACCTTTAAATATATTTTGAACAGGAAAACAGTGGACCTATTTCTATTATTATGTTGTTTTAGATCAACATTTCTTTTTAGTATTTCAATGACTTTAGGATGCAGTCTAAATAGTACATATTATTCTTGACGACAATAAACGTTTACAGTAAATGCCTAAAGGTCAAAGTTCAACAGGACACAGGCATTTCTATGGGCTGGTCTTTTCTCATGCTTTTCTGGGGCTATAATCGGTCCAGGCAAATCCTCCCTGTGTATCGCGGGTCAGTCGCTGTGACAGATGGCCCTGCATGAATTTACACGTCAGCTTCACAACACACACACACACACACACACACACACACACATACAAATACACAAATACACAGCTACGCATACAGTGATAAGAAAATATGACTAGACACAGTGAGAAGTGGGAGATATGGAAATATGCAAAATTACAAAATGACAAAATCAAGCAGCCATCATTTATTGAAATGTTTTAAAAGCTCCAAAAAACAAGGATATATAGTGATAATAATATTTTCTGCATTAATGAGATACATCTACAGTTCATGTTTGTGCAATAGCAGAGATATTTACCCGTATATTTCTGATGGACTGTAAAAACAGTATCATTATTTTCATGATAATAAGTATCACGAAACTTATTTAGTTTCTTGATACTGTATTGCAGTTTAAATGTCAAATGTTTAACTGGTAAATAGTGAAGATTGAAATTGGTTTGTTTAAAAAAAAAAAAAAAAAGCTTTGTAGTTTAGACATTTACAATAATTCATGTGATTGTTGCATTAGTTTATAGGTTTTATTTTAGGTTTCTGTCAGGTTTGAGGCGACAGTGGCTCAGTGGTTAGAGCAGTGGTCCCCCAGCCCGAATTCAGAGGATCTATTCCCACTCAGACCAAGTTCGGTTGTTGTGTCCTTAGGCAAGACACTTAACCCTCATTGCCTAGTATGAAAGTGGTGTGTGTGAATTTAATAACAGTTGCAGTGCTTACCAGAAAAACAAAATCAACAAAACAAATACAATTAGACTTTTTGACCCCCAAATGAACCAGCCCTTCTAAACTTTAGCTGTGCCCTCTCGCCCCAGGTGTCTGTGATCCTGACCCTGATGGTGCCGTACAGCGAGATCGACGCAGACGCCCCGCTCATGGAGATGTTTGCGCAGCACGGTTCTATGTTTGCCAAATACATCGTAGCAGTGGGCTCCATCGCCGGACTCACCGTGTCTCTGCTCGGCTCTCTGTTCCCCATGCCCAGAGTTATCTACGCCATGGCCGGGGACGGGCTGCTCTTCAAGTAAGAGCTGTATATGTAATGTAATACTTCTTCTTTGTACACACACTTTGTAGAAGTGAGCTCAAGTTTTCCTCTTCAGTTTAATGCCAGGTGGTGTCCTCCCTATATCTACACTACCTGTCAAAAGTTTGGACACACCCTGCCATTTCATTTTAAATTTTTATTTTATTTTTTACTACTTGCTACATTATATATACACACAGAAGACATCTAATATATGAAGCAAGGTAAAGATTTTTCGACAAAGCGGATCCTGGGTAAATTGAGGATTTGAATATGAAACATATTAAAACAGTAGTCGAGTTATTTACAGTAGTAGGTATTTTTCTTTGCTACATTATTTCATATATTTTACTTCATATGTGATGTCTTCTTTACGTATATATAATGTAGAAAGTAGTAAAATTAAGAAAAAAACAAAACAAAATGAAAGAGATGGTTTGCCAATTCCAAAACTGGACAGTATTTGAAATATAAATTAAACTAAAGTAGTACTACTACTAGCCACAGAAACATTTAAAAATGACCAAGTATAAAAAGGATGCACAATTCACTTTGTTTCACATAGCCCCAAACCACAACAGCAGTCACTCACAGAGCTTCACAAAATAGCTGATTTAACAAACAGAAATTTAGAAAATCTAAGTCAGTCAGCAGTCAATAAAGGACATGCAGATCAACCAACACTGAGAGCAAACACATGGATAACTGTTTAGCACATCCCCTGTCTGCCTTTAGGAAGTGTGGTGACCAATTAAGACCTGTTGTTTTAATTGGTTTGTTTTAATTGTTTTGAGTATTCTGTCTCTAAACAACATAATCACAGTATTTCTCCATGTCTGTCTTCTAACCGGGTACTTTTGTGTGTGCAGGTTCCTGGCTAATGTGTCTTCATACACAGAGACCCCCGCTGTGGCTTGTGTGGTCTCTGGGTTCCTGGCCGCTCTGCTCTCTCTCCTGGTGAGCCTCAGAGACCTCATAGAGATGATGTCCATAGGAACGCTTCTGGCCTACACTCTCGTAAGTCCTGTGTAATGAACGGTGGGACTATAGAACTATACTTACTTGCCATAGTACTTATTGGTACTGGACATGGTCTGCCATACTTTTAATTTTTTTTATTTATTAATTTTTTTTGTTAACTTTGAATCTAAAGACTAATAATTGGAGGTTCTGCTATGATGGAAATATCGCGAAAAAAAAGAAAAGGAAAAAAAAGTGGCTATTTTAGTGTATGTACCCTTCTTTTTTTTTTTTTTTTTTTTAATTTTGAACAATGAAAACTGTCCTTAAATCCTCAGTGGGTTGGGTAAGCTGTTAATAAATGCATTCCAGATGCAAAGAGACAACATTCAGTAAAAAAAATAATTCTTAAAACACATTTCTACATGATTTTAGCTCAATTTAATGCAAAAAAGAAAAAAACAATTTTTCTCATTTTCCAATGTTTTCTATTTTCATCTTTACCTCATTGGCAATCAACTATTACCCCAAGTTACAAGTTAAACATAAGAGTGCATTAGTAGTAGTATTTATGTATATTTTTTGTTAATGAAAGAACATAACAAAATGAACTCTTTTTTTCCATCCTCCAGGTGAGCCTCTGTGTCCTGCTGTTGCGTTACCAACCCGAGAGTGACATCCACGGCTTCGTCAACTTCCTGTCCGAAGAACAGAGCAAAAAACGCAAGGAGGGAGTTTTGGCCGAATGTGAAAAAGACGCGTGCTCCCCGACCTCCGAAATGGACGAGTACGGAGGCCCACCCACCAACACGTGCGGCGCCAAAAACCTCCCTTCCCTGGGTGACAACGAAATGCTAATCGGAAAACCGGATAAAAACGCTTACAACGCCAGCCACCCCAACTATGGCACAGTTGACATGACGACAGGGATCGAGTCGGAGGAGACGGAGACGGGGATGGCCAGGAGGTTGAAGAAGCTGATTGGTCCGCGGTACTACACTTTAAGGATCAGGCTGGGTCTACCGGGGAAAATGGACCGGCCGACTCCAAGCACCGGAAAGACTGTTACGATCTGTGTGCTGCTGCTGTTTGTCTTCATATTCGCTTTCTGCTCCTTCATCATTTTTGGTAAGTTTTCTCATATGTTATGTTATGACAGCAATGTGCAAATGGATTTTTTTTATTTTTAACTGTTCAGGTGTATACGCAAGCTGGGGACAGATTTAAAGGTTCTATACTACACAAAATGAATTCTGTTGTAATGTTACCTCATCGATAGTATACCTGGAATTGTTTTTCATTCACAAATGTTTCAGTAATCCTTTATTATTAGTCCGTCTACAACTCCAACTCCTTTACAGTAGCACCACCAGCTATATTTTATGTTTTGTTCAGCAAAGATTGGCAATTCCAGGGCTGAAGTCATCCAAATGATTCTAGTGAACACACAGTGGAGCACTTCTTGTATTGGTGGTTTTCAGATTCTAGAATGTGATGGGGGCAAGAGCCAGATTTCCCTTGTACTTTACCATGAAATATACAATATGTAAATTCACAAATGTTGAACCTGAACATTTCTATCAGTGTCTAGACACAAGAACTCACTGTATGGCTACACAAATCTGCATTTTAACAATATTCATTTTACTTTCCTCCCATCTGAATTAAATAACTTTGGCTGTAATGTCATCTGAAACCCATCAATTACCACATGATATCACAACTTAGAACAGAGTGTTTTGTATTTGAAAAGAACTCAGCCTTCCAGAGACAACTGATTTTGGCATCAAAATACTTTTTACTACTTACTGATCATTTTCAATAATGAGACATGAGGCTTAAGGCTGAATTATAGTTCTGAGTCGACGCACACTGCCGTCGTCGCCTTGTCGTATTTGTTTTTGATTTATGGACCTGCTTAGAGTTCTATGTACCACAAAGTAATTCACAGCCACAAGGCTAGGAGGCTAGGATTGTGTTTAATTACACAAAATGCAGCGGTATAGCGGAGTGCCGGAAATTGCTTTCCCTTGCTGTCTGCGTGAGTTTGACGTGTAGTTATAAAAGTTGTACATCGGTCGTTGCACACGATTTGATGCATGACCATAAATTGGGCTTTACCTCTGATCTGGAAAGCTTAATTCAGTTTTGATGACTACATCTTTGTGAATTTCAAGACTTCTAATTCGCTGATTTAGATTTTTGAATATTACGTGATGATTTGTTTGTTTGGTGAAGTTTCCTCTCTCAGATGTTGCTTACTTTTATCTATACCTGTCTGAAATCAAAACAGCACTGCATCTCTTTAAAGTTATTCTTTTATCTCTAACCTAGGCTCCAGCAGTATTGGCGAGGGAAGCTGGTGGGCGTTACTGCTTCTGACCTTCTTCATTTTGGTCTTGGCCATCCTAATCATCATCATCCTCCAGCAGCCGGAGAACCCCAAACGTCTGCCGTACATGGCCCCCTGCGTGCCCTTCGTCCCCGCGTCGGCCATGTTAGTCAACATCTACCTCATGCTCAAGCTCTCCGCCATCACCTGGATCCGCTTCTCCATCTGGTGTCTCGTGGGTAAGAAGTTTCAACAATTTTAGAAGAATATTTAGCTGTTTTCTGACAAGTATTGTAATTTCAGCTAGATTTGCAATTGTTTTAGTAGTATGGTTCTATAGGATTATTTTCAGACGGCACATTTTTAACATTTCCAGGAAGGTTTGGAGAATATAATACATTTGTGTGGCATAAGAGGCTCAAAATCAGACTAGGCCATTTTGACTCCAGTGTTATGTCAGTTATGCCAAGGGAAAATGATAATGTAACTATGGCTCCTGGGAAGCAATGTTAAACAGATAAATGAAGTGAAGGATACATTATCTAAATTCTCTCACAAGTAAAGTAACATTTGGCACAAGATATTCACAGGGTTGACAAGTTTTATTAGATTAGACTAGACTGAAGGGAGGCAGTGTAAGTTCATAAAGATATTACTAAACTAGAATTAGCCCCAAGACCATGGTGCTGAGGCATAATAAAAATAAAATAGATTAACAAGACAAAACATGAACAATATTAACATAACTATGACACAAAAACAATGAAAAAACGATAAAAACTTCAGGGCATAAGACATGGGATTATGAGGTTTGTAGAGAAATACTGTTTATGTGACAAATTATTGCAGTTTTTGTAATGACTGAAACTGCAATTTTGGGATACAGTGGTCCCTCGTTTATCGCAGGGGTTACGTTCTAAAAATAACCCAAAATAGGCGAAATCCGCGAAGTAGTCATCTTTATTTTTTACAATTATGATATATGTTTTAAGGCTGTAAAACCCCTCTCCACACACTGTATACATTTTTCTCAGACAGGACAGTTACAGCCATTTTTGCATCCTTCTTAAAACTTATTGCTGCTATCGTCCTTATGTTATTTTCCTCCTTCTTTATGTAACAAACCGAAGATTAATTTATTCCGTAATGGTGCCCTACAGCAGTATAACTTCTATTGTCCTTAAGCATGTCCAGAAGTCCAACTTTTTGTGCGATGGTTTGCGTCTTCCTCTGCCTTTTGTGTGCGACAGCAGGAGCCTTTGTCGGTGCAGAACGTTTCATCGACATTGTGGGTTTTGTTGAAGAAAAAACTTGCAAACATACAGCACTTCAGAGTCACACTGCCAGAGATCAAACATTTATGTAAATGTGGCTGAACGCATTCTGCACTGTACAGGAGACACGGCACGGAGGAGACTGATTGACAATGGTGTACAGTCCCTTAGCCAATCAGGACGCAGGTGGAGGAACACAATGTGCATTCAAACTCTTAAAAAAGCATGCAAAATGGCACACACACACAAAAAAAATCTGTGAAACAGCAAGGCCGCGAAAGGTGAACCGTGTTATAGTGAGGGACGACTGTATAGGATGAACATAACATGGTAGTCGTGGCTAATGGTAAATGTGACAATACTGTTACTCATATAAGCTGGAAACATTAGTCAGTGTACTTTATTTCATGCTAAAATGACTGTACATGACCAGGACATAGTTTGTATAGTGCGACCAGCCCCTCCTCATCATTTACATGTAAACACCATGACCCTTAAGCTGTTTATATGGATAATGAAGTTCAATAATTTTAATATTCACATTAACATGCAGCAACACGGAACTAATTCCCATAAACCCCATCACATGCTGTGTATTTAATGTGTATTTTATTTAGTCATTAATCATTTCCGAAAGGTCAACACTGTTAAATGAAATTAATTGTCCGATGCATGTCGTGTTTACCAATGTGGATGACTTGTTTTGCATATTTCCACTTCAATAATACGTAGATGAAGGTTGGCTAGACACAGCGGATCATCAACATTCCCTGTGGGTGTGAAGTTAACTGAATGCACTACTCTGTCTGAAGCTCTGTTACTCAAGTTAGACTTTAATCTGAGCTTTATTTTTAAACACACTCTGACCACAATTACAGTCATAACCTGTCTATCATAGGCCAACCGTTTTTCAGTTAGTCACTCTCACCTTTGTGTAGAAAATCAAACTCCTAAACAGCACCATCAACTTTTATATTGATCACAGGCTCCTGAAAAATGTGTTGTTTAGATCCATTTTGTGTGTTTTTTTTCTCTTTTCAGACCATCTTAAAGCTTTTTTTTTTTTTTATCTGTGTGCATTGTGTCATCTTGGAAACTGCTGAATATTCCACCAATAGAAATGCATGTAGAACACCCCCAGCGTGACGTCGCTGCAAGGCATCAATTATTTGGCGGGGCATTAATATTGTATTGCAAGTAGATTTATACAATGTTGAGTGACAAAGCAGGTTATTGGTAGTCTGATTCATCAGACGGTTTCACGTTGTAGAAACCGTCTGACCTCGCAGCATTAGAATTCGTTCGCTCAAAGATAGGCAGATCCTTTTTTTTCATTCAACCAATCACTGCTATTTGGTTGTGACGTATGTAATGCTCCGTTAACAGGGCTAACTGGTATATTAAGCTTTTCCCAAATCCCGTAGGAAGAAGGGCAATAACGTCTTTCCCCTTGATAAAATTCACTGAACATTCTCTTTATTCTGGCTTTAAATCCTCAATCTCGTCAATCGTTGCATGTATGACTCTTCACTGTTTGGCTGGTACTCGAACTCACACTTCAGGGGTTTTTGTAAACCGTCTAGTGTATTTTGATTCTTGACCTAGTCGCTGGAGAGAAATAAATTGAGCGGAGGCACTAGGTGGCACCAGTCTGGCTAGGTTATAGGTGTTTTTGTTTTATTCTTAGATAGAGAAGAGACATTTTTGTTTCTTCCTTTTCTATAACTCATATTCAAAAGGAAAATCCACAAATGTTTAATCCAGTTTTTTCTGTTAGTGACAAGAGATCTTTGAACTTCAAATCATAAATCTGCATATTAACAATAAATTTCATTACTGGCCTATGAAATACTGGGATGTCATCTGAAACTCAGAAATATGCAAACTGAAACACTATCAGAAACACATGTCATTTTTAGGGGGTTGTGAAGTTTGTCTTTAATTTCCAAACTAACATTGAGCCCGATTTTCCTCCGATTTTCCAGTACAGAGAGACCCTTGAACAATGAGGCACACACAACTGTCGCCCATGACTGAGACTTTTATAATCACTCCAGTCCTTTTAATGCTTTATGAGACAGAGATACTTTATTGATCCTGAGGGAAATTCATGTTTTGTTTTTTAAAGATGCTTCATGGTACAGACCCAGATCAGCCTTATATCATTATCTTACAAGGGATTAAAAACATGCCAAATGTTTTTATCTGGCTTCAAAACTTTCCAAACACAAATAAATACACATTTCATCTCAACAGCATCTTAAAATTTTATCATTTCTAACTGCTTCGATCACCTCACCAAAGAATAAATTTCAATGTTTACATTTCTACATAATGCACATAATTAATTAGGAGGAGGCTTAAAGGTGCACCGAATAACTTTTGGTTTCTAAATGCTCTGCTTTGAATGTTCCACTAAACAGCTCGACTTTACATTTATCAATTACAGGTGGTTTTATAGCTCAAAAATACCTAAAAAAAACAGTGACAGTGAGCTGCCTCTCCACGGATCTGACCTGTAACTTGGCCTGATTTGGTCTCCATGAAGATAGAAAGGTTTCATGCCATCCTGTGTTTTGTGGATCTGGAGAAGGCATTCGACCGTGTCCCTCGTGGTGTCCTGTGGGGGGTGCTCTGGGAGTATGGGGTCCGGGGCCCTTTGCTAAGGGCTGTCCGGTCCCTGTATGACCGGAGCAGGAGCTGTGTTCGCATTGCCGGCAGTAAGTCAGACCTGTTCCTGGTGCATGTTGGACTCCGCCAGGGCTGCCCTTTGTCACCGGTTCTGTTCATTGTTTCTATGGACAGAATTTCTAGGCGCAGTCAGGGGCCGGAGGGGGTCCGGTTTGGGGACCACAGGATCTCATCTCTGCTGTTTGCAGATGATGTTGTCCTGTGGGCTTCATCAGGCCAGAACTTGCAATGTGCACTGGGGCGGTTTGCAGCAGAGTGTGAAGCGGCTGAGGTGAGGATCAGCAGGATCTTCCAAGTCTGGGGCCATGGTTCTTGACTGGAAAAAGGTGGCTTGCCCTCTCTGGGTGGGTGGAGAGTCCTTGCCTCAAGTGGAGGAGTTCAAGTATTTTGGGGTCATGTTCACGAGTGAGGGGAGGATGGAGCGTGAGATTGACAGGCAGATCGGTGCAGCGTCGGCAGTGATGTGGTTACTGTATCGGACCGTTGTGAAGAGGGAGCTGAGCCAAAAGGCAAAGCTCTCAATTTACCGGTCAGTCTTCGTTCCTACCCTCACCTACGGTCTTGAGCTCTGGTTAATGACTGAAAGGACAAGATTGCGGATACAAGCGAAGACAAAGCATTAACATCTCCATGGAGAAAAGCATTTGATGGGCCCTCCACCAGAAAAGCTACACAATGCACCTTACTTAAAGTCACCTTTATCAGAGGGCAGATGTGAAACCTGTTCCCCATCACCTCACCTGTGCTCTGGTGTCTTACATCAGGAGCTGGTTGGCTTATCTAATCATAGACAGTACAGTGCAAAAAATATAATCTTAAATCAAATGACGTGGATTAAGAACTATTAACTATTGGACAAGACTGTTTGTGCATAAAATAAGAAAATGCAGACTGTTAGACCAAAGATAAGAAAACAACAACTCTTTGTACTTAAAATTAGACACTTAATATTATTACGAAAGAAGGACTTATTCCACTGGTAGACAATATTACTTGTCAAGTGAAATCTACTGAAATCAAGTTCAATATTCTTAATTTGAGTAATCTGGATTTACTTAAATATGACTTTTTGCAGTGTAGCTTCACTCAGTTGGCAGGACATTTGATTGACAAAACATGTTAAGCTAAAACAAAAACAGATTCTCCTTTGGGTTGCCATGTTTGTCACTTTCCACCACAAAATAATTGGAGTTTCCAACTGTGACCCTGTTTTTCTTAAAGGTGCATTGTGTAACGTCTCTGGAGAGTCCGATAAATGCTTTTTCTTCACTGAGATGTTATTGTTTTATCTGGAATGTTTCACAGTATTCCATTAAACCTTTCAATCTTCATGGAGACCAAACTGGACCAAGTTACAGGTCAGATCTGTGGAGAGGCGACCCCGCTCACAGTCAGAATGCCTGTTTTTCTGGGTATTTTTGAGCTATGAAACCACCTGTAATGGAATAAATGTAAAGTAGAACTGTTTAATGTCATATCGTGGAACAATTTAAGCAGAGCAATGATGTATCCATAAAAACATACACGTGACGGACCCCCAACCAAAAAGTTACACAGAGCACCTTTAAGAAGCCCATAAGACCATTAAGTTTATTTCTTTGCATAACCACCGTATAAAATCTAGAGTTTTTAATCAGCATAACCAAAACAACTTAGAGTATAAATAGCTTTTGAGGTATTTCCACAGAACTGAGTCAGATTTAGGCTGAGCACGCACCGTTACATAAGACTCATAGCATGGAGTTTATCAGCTGCAGATGTGTGATGTTGTGACTGTAAATAATGAGTCTGCTTCTTCATTCTGGGACTGTGGGTGCGCTTGTGTTTGAACCAGCGTGGCTCTTTGTACGTTTGTTTTTAAGAGGAAGGAAGGAGCTAGTCTCATGTGCTTTCATTTCCCGTAGAAGATGTTTACTGTATGTGAGTGTGTATTTTGGACGTGTTTCTTTTAAAGGTGCATCATGCATTGAGTCTTTTTCAATGAACCACTATAGGTCATTCACTTATTTGTCAAGTGTAGGTACTGAGAAGCAACCACTCCCAGGCTCAAATAAGAGAAGAAGATGGATTTCTGGATATGTTTTTAACTTCAAACTGAATAATATGAGTTATTGTTAGATTTTTTTAAAGGGCCCACGTTAAGTTTTTTTCTGATCTATATTATATAGTTGTTTCCTTATCAAAAACATCACTTGAGTTGCAGAGCAAGTAAGTAAGTCTTTATTTATATAGTGCTTTCACAGACATTTTTCTGTTCCCAAAGACGCTTTACAGAGCAGAGAGGAAAGAGGATGGCAGAAGCACTCTGATTTGTGATGTATTTATTAATGGTCACACCAGTGTGTTTCTACTACTTATGAGTCTTCAACAGGAATGACAGAGTGAGCAGCAGGTGTGACTCTAATTATAGGAGTCATGTAACCCCAAACACGTGATCATTAAAAACAAAATACACATGCTGAATCCAAGTATTCTGACAACATATCATTCTAACACAACAGACAAGAACCACTATCCTTTTATGTTTTAAGTTAACAGTATCACAAGTAGAAACATTTTTTATCAAAAATATACTATAAAAATACAAAATTAACAATTGGCAATAAGATAATATAAAGACATGATACACTGAGACAGAGTAACAAGAAGGCATGGATATATGTGGAGCAGGGGTGCCCAAACTTTTTTCATCAAGGGCCAAACACAGATGAAACAGAGGGCCAATCGAGGGCCATAGACTGGAGCTCAGTACAGTGAATAATTGAAATATGTGCATGTTTAACACGTTAGAATGAGCCATCTGTCTTTATTCATACAAAGATCCTTAAAACCACAAACGAAATATTAAAAATTTGCTTTATCAAGGTAGATTTTCAAAAAACTTGCAGTAAAAAATGTATTTTTAATTGATGCAAGGTAATTTGGGCAAATTCACCTGGAAGCATGAGGGCCAAGAAAAATTTGTCTGAGGGAAACATTTGGCCCCCAGGCCATAGTTTGGACATGCCTGATGTAGAGGCTTTAGAGTTCAAATAGTTTATAGGAGCAAAGGGGGAGCTACAGGAAGGGTAAAAAATCCACCTCTTCATTGAGACCGGAGTGGGCCGTAGCCTTCAAAGTATAAATCCAAAATGTCTCTCTTTGGAGAAGACGTTTTAAACAGTCTCCTCCTCGAGAGTTGTAGGAGATGACCTCTATCACCATAACCCTGAGAAAGTTTGGGCTGCTGTAATCAACCGCTTTATAATGTTTAACTATTGAATTCTAATGGCATTTTTATGTTCAGCCAGTCTCTCTCTGAACTTGCATTTGGTGCGTCCTAACAGTCACATTCGCGTCCCTTGAGTTGTGTTTTGTTTCACTCACACATGTTTAACACACAAACTCTGCCTATTTAGGCTGAGTTCTTCTCTCAAACAGAAAACACTCTGTTCCACCTTGTGATGTCATGTGGTAATAAGCGATTTAATCTACTGAGCTAAAGATAGAAGGTAGCTGCCACCATTGTATGACATCACAAGGTGGACAGAACATTTTGACCTTCAGGGATGTAGACAAAATAATAACAAAGGCTTACTCAAACATGTGTTAATGGAACAAAACACAATGTTTGTTTATGAGGAGCTAACACCATTATGACATAGATTAAAGCTCACAAGAATTCAAGAATCTTCCCAGACTAATATCATGAAGTATATGGTAAATATAGTTTCAGATTGTCATGCTATAGTAGTAGGAAATGAATAAGAATACTTTTTTCTCCATATCCATTGTATATAAAGACCACAAGACTCCAGGGAGCCAAGTGTACGCAGACAAATCTTAAATGGCAACTTTGTATTGTGATTTGCAATCTCACCAGCAGATGTCACCCCAAACCAAACCGTGCATTATCACTTGTAATTAATGACCTCCTGTCTGTTTTGTTTGCAGGGATCCTCATCTACTTTGGCTACGGCATGTGGAACAGTACTCTAGAGATCACAGCCCGGGAGAACGAAGCCCACGCCTCCACGTACCAGCGCTATGACCAGGGCGTGGACGAGGGCTTCTGCGGCTTCGACGATGACTTCTACCCCCCCACCACGGGAGACACATGGGACGGCCAGCAGGGGGGGCCAGAGAGCCACACCAAACCCCAGAGTGATGGGACAAAAGATGGAGGCAGGACCATAGCAAATCATGGACTCGCTGAAGAAGACCCCCTAGATTTCTGATTGGACTGTGTCTCTATGAATGTACTGCCTCGTCTGCTGCCTGTGGGATCATGGGGGGAGGGGAGGGGTGTGCGTGTGTGTGTATGTGTGAGTGTGTGAGTGTGTGTGAATGATAGTGTAAGCATGCATGCATGTGTGTTGTTCTTCATGTGTTAACTGGCTATGGAGGACCAAAAATGACTCAAATAATTCATTAAAAACATGTAAAGCAAAACATTATGACCACAGGGGACAACATTTTCAATATTAAAAATGATCTCTTTGTTCTGAGGATTGGTAGGATATTGCAAAAGTGGCTATGCAACCTGCCTGTCTCCATGGAAATGTTGCTTTGCCTGGAATGTTCCAGAGCATGGCATTAAACTCATAAGCATTTGTATAGCGGGTGTTTGTCATGCTCAAAATAACTTAGATTTTACTGTGAGTGGAGTTGCCTGGAGATGAACAATGATGCCATACATTCTAAGCAATTTTGTAACTATGGAGACAGGCAAGTGGCATACCATCCTCCAGAAAAGTTACACAGTGCACCTTTAAGTTGGGTATCATCAGGAATACCTATAAAACTGCACGTGCTACTGTGTGACATAGGTTGTCAGTGTATTTTTTTTTTCTTTTGTTATCCCTATTTTATTTTTTAGTATTGTCAATATCTTTTTAAAATCTGCCTCAGAACTGATTTCCATACATGATTTGGCATGTATTTAGGCAATTCACAATTCATTAATCTATGTTTTATATGTATGAATTTGATAACTGATAAACCTAAATTTACACTAGTTCTCTAATTACTTCTGTTGGTTTTATTATTGATTATTTCCAAATCAAAATCAACTTTTTTTTTATATAGCACGTAACTTGCGTACTGAAAATGATTTGAGATCTTTTGTCCCTGATTTTGAACAAGCCATCCAATATAACACAATGGTTCCTCTTCATATTTGGTCCTCCATATTACAGGGCTAGATGGTTTCCCAGCAGCAGCCTCTTTCTTCACCTCTAGTTGCTACAGTTTGTTTCCAGCTCTTGTGAAAAAGTCAAGGCCACATTTTTGTCACTTGTTATTCACTTACGGGCACCCCACACAACACGGCAGTGTCAAAGAAAAGCACCAGATAAAACTATATTTTCCTGGAAACAGAGATTAGAGGAATACAGCTTGTTTTGAAAAGTGTTGAGTGGGACAGACTATGAATCAAAATTTAATTTCCGGTAACAGAAATACCTACAATATTTCCTTTACAGTCTGTTAAAGGCACTGTACCTGGAAAAGTTCATTTTAAAAGATTTGCAGTGGTCCAAAGTTAAAAAATTCTCCATATTCCTCATTTATGTGTTTTGATTATTATAATTATTCACCATGATGAGTTAACAAGTGCTTTTCAACTTTCAGAGCATGCTAACCATGCACTTCCTGATAAACTGACAATAAAAAACACTTTATAATTAGATGCAGACAGATGCAACACACAGCTGACTTATTTTGAATTTAAGAGCTGCTTATACAGCATATGACAAGTTTGGACACACTTTTGTATTTATTTTTCTTATTTATTTTCATGATTATTTAGACCTACATTATAGATTCTCATCAAAACTATGAAGGAACAAAAAAAGAAAGACAAAATTTGCCCAAGTACATGGAAAAGTACATGGCCTTTAACACTATATTTAAGTAATTACAAATGTGTTCATTGTATCATAACTTTTGTGCTGACCATCTAGCCCTTTTGGATCAGGAATGAGAAAGTGGTGTTATGTGTTACAAATAGTACACAGACTTTGCTTGCAATAGTGCCTTCATCCACTGTTGAGTCAATGTTTTTCTATGTAAGAATGTACCCATTACCATACACTGGAACTTGGTCTGTGGTCTACAGTATATTTGTTATATTGCCCTGATTTCCCAGCATGCAATCCACATCAACCAACCACCGCACATACCAAATCTTGCAGTCATGTTTGCATTGATAAGATTTTCTTTTTCATTGTATTTTCCAAAGAGGAGCCATTCAACCTCTGTGATCTTGGTTCCTGTTAGTTGTGTTGCTCAAAGTCACCAGCAGTGGCGCTGTAGGGTTGGATTTCTCTTTATAACAAGCCTCGCTTCTAATGCACGTTAACATCACATTGTGACCACTGATAGATCATATATTCATTATGATACTGGTTAGTTGGTGCAATATTAGGTAGCAAATGTGAGTATCTATGTAACTTTTCAAGTAGAGGGTCCGGAATGTTCCACAGTATGGCATTAAATGTATATATCTCTCATGTATACAGTTACCGGTATTTTCAATGCCAAAATACCTTGAAAATATGCATTCTTAATGGAGTATAGGCAATACTCGACACTTTCTTCAACAGTGCATTGTGTAAGTGTTGTGGAGGGTCTGCTGGTCTCCATGGAGATTTTATTGGTTTGTCCAGAATGTTCCACAGTATGGCATTAAATTATTATCCATCATACATTTATTCAATTGCAGGTATTTTATTGCTCAGAAATATCTTGAAAAACATTAGTGGGATCCATTCTCCACAGATCTCTCATATCGCAGCCTGTCTCCATGAATTTAAATAAGTTTAATGCCATACTGTGGAACATTCCAGGCAAATGGCAAAGACAGTCAGGTGGCAGTAGCCTGATTCATCAGCCAGTTTTACTTCATGGAAACCGTCTGACTTTGCAGCATTAGGATTTGTTTGCTCGACGGTATGCAAGTACTTAACCAATCACTGCTATTTGGTCATAACATATGTAATGCATCAAATCCTGTAGGAAGAAGGGCAATAACGTCTTTCCCCCTGATAAAATTTACCAGACTTTCTCTTTGTTCCGGCTTTGAATCCTCAGTCTTGAGAATCGTTGCCAACACAGAATGTCTGGCTTCATCTCCATCCATCTCGACCGCTTTGTTTACTGTTGTGCTGTACCACAAAGGGACCCAGACAGGCACTTGAATTTGACGTCATGGCTTCACAGCTCTTCGCTGATTGGCCGGTGCGCGGTCTACAACTTCTGGGGCTCTTGCAAACTGTCTAGTGTATTCCAATTGCTGACCTAGTTACTGGAGAGAAATGAAATTGAGAGGTGGCGCCAGCCTGACTAAGATATCAGACCCTCCACCAGAAAAGTTACACATTGCACCTTTGATATGGACTGCTTGTTTCCACGGATTTAGATACATTTAATGCCATACTGTGGAACATTCACAGCAACGTATGACTTGAGAAAAGCCAAAGGATGAGAAACTTAAACTACTATATTATGGAGGTGGTCACAATGTTTTGCTTGATTAGTGTATCTAGTTTTTCTTGATTTTCAGCGCATGCATGTAGCTTTTGTCTGTATGCTGCTAAGTGCACTATCGCTATGAGGTATTGTGAAAGTCAATCAGTCCACCGTGTAAACTGCCAAGGTTTTTGTGTCCATATGAAGAATGTATGGTCCTGTGAGAGAGTCGGTGACCACCCGATTAGCAGAAATACAAACTGGGGAGGCTACATTTGGTATTGGCTGTATATATATATATGTGTGTTACTGTAGATCTTGACCCCTGTTGCTGCATTGGTCTCTGCCAGGGAAGCCTTATTTGTCAAATGCACTAACCTAAAGATGCCACGCTATAGCCCCGCCCTACCTCTGCTTTGACATACTCTCCAATCCCACATGTTTAGACCTAGAATAGGACCATTCTGTTGCCCAGTGAAATTACTGTACATTGTATTATTATAAAACTGCCCGATGCCACTGAAGACGAAACTGGCAATGAGTGATTCTGCTCAAAAATGTATGATTGGCAGCTAAAATGTAAACATACTTACATTATGTACCATTGCAAGAACAGTACCAAAGGATTTCAACATATGCAATCACATAATTATTATAATGAATTCATAATTGGCTAAAGGTACACTATGCTGCTTGTCTCCATGGAGATGTTATATTTCTTTGGCTGGAATGTTCCACAGTATGCCATTAAACTTATATGTATTTCATTCCAGGTATTTTTTATTATTAAAATACCCCACAACAGTCTGTGAGTAGGACCATCTGCGGTATTACCTGCTTGTCTCCATAGTGATCAATAAGTTTAAAGTCATATTACGGAACATTCAAAGATATGCTGAATCATCCATTGTCAGTATTGTAAGAAAACACCTTTCAAAAATGCACATGATTTCTCCTGTACACCATTGCTCTTCTTCAGCCAAAATACTTCTACTACTTGTACTTTTTCTGGTACTACTACTACTACTTCTGCTGCTGCTTCGTTACCATAGCTCAGCCAAATCCAGGGGCACGCGAAGCCACCGTCGCCCCTGACAACCATGTACAGACAGACTTGTTGTCGTGTTGAGTGTTGTTTCTGTGGAGGAGTGAATGCATGAGTGTCTATGGCGTAGCCTCTATGTGACGTGTGTAGCATGCTCTGTGTTGGCATGAGGTGATCGACTGCACTCACACTCGACGCATTCATGATAAAGGCACAGGTAGTCCTTACAGCTGGGGGTAAAATGACGTTACACCATCTGTTCTCTGGTTCTGAAGACGTTTGTAGACAGGTGTTATTGTGAAGTGGGATTTGGATGGGGCGTGTACAAATTAAATCACTTATCTGGTCGAGGTTCTGCCAGATTCTTGTAATGTATTCAAATTCAAATGTCTATGCTCAAAAATATCTCAAAACATGCATTCTTACTGTACACAGGCTTGCCTCCCACAGATCTGACCTGTGATTTGGCCTAGTGGCATCATCTCCTTTTCTCCATGGAGATAGATTTCTGTTTCCTTGTGTGTACCCTAGACTGTATATATAAATGGACATAGCCTGGACATAACGAACATAACCTGCTAACACGGATCTTTTAAATAACTGGATAGGGTGTTGCTGCTTGTCGCTGCCTCCAGTTGACGTAGTGGTCACTCACTGGTACTTCAGCTAAGACAAGATTTTTCTCATAGAGCGCAATGTAATCACAAACTGCTCACGTTTGGCTGGGAGGGCACCTATAACTTTCAAAAATGTTGGATTTTGTGGCGATTTTTACCTATTTTTAGATCATTAACTTTTTCTCAGCTCAAAATCCTTCAGTTGTCTTAAAAATGCTTTATAATAGTTTGTTCCGCTCCGCTCTAGCTCCTCTCGCTCTGATTGGTCAAAGCGATACACAAGACTGCGCTCCGTGTGTGCGCTCATGTGCATTGGTGTGCGCCCGCAAGAGAAAAAAAAGCACTACTGCACATGCTCGGTCGGCCCACAGCCACCAGAACCTCACTGGGCTAAAAGCTCTGGAGTCATGCGCCATTGAGCTCGGCCCATTGACTTGAATGGGCGACCATTTTGAAACCCCGGGGCTTTCCTGCTAACTGCTGCGTTTCAAATAGGAAGTGAGCATGGGGGCTCATCTGGCTTCATCAATTCCAGCTCCAATTGACTTTACATTGAAAAAACATCACCACTTTCTCTGTAACTGCTGCTCTCAGGTTCCTTTATTTTGGTCTT